ACTAACTAAAAAATGCCAAAATTTCAATTTCGCCAATTCAAGCATAAATCTACTCCGAACCTCCAAAATACATTCCGACCAAACTCCTATGTCCCAAATCACCTTCCGAAGCTATCCGAATCATAAAAACCAGATTTTGTGATTGTTTACTCACAAGTCAACTTCCGGTTGAATTTTTCAACTAAAAGGCCAACTTAAGAGACTAAGTGTCTCATTTCTCTACAAAAATCACTCAGAACCCAAACTAACCAACACGATACGATGAAATATAACTGAACAACATATAAAAAAGCAGAAATGGGAGAAACTGAGAGGTAACTCATAAAACGGCCCGCCGGGTCGTTACAACAAGTTAACTCAAATCCTCCACAACACTTATACCTCAAATCAACACAATGGAATATCAGTACAATTATGAAACTTCGCCAGTTAAAACTACACACCGAGACCAACCAACGTATACCATAAAGTACCAATAAACCAATATAAACCAATAGTGTGATATAATGGAATAATGGAACAATTAACAACACCAACAGAGACGCAATATTTAACAAGAAGCAATTAGATGTGGAAACATCAATAAGCAAGTAGCAAGTATGACAGGAGAGCAATATATAGGGAAACGGGGCAAGGGGACATGCTAAACAAGTAATTTGGCGACATATAGGTGCTCATCACCACACCTATACGCCACACACATGGTATTTCACATAGCAAGCAAGTCGGGGATCCCTAATCCCTCAAGTCAAGGCTAGACCAAATACTTACCTCAAGCCAACGGGTATTTCAAAGCTCAGTCACCTTTTTACCTCTTGATTCCACCACCAATTCACTTGTATCTAGTCTTAATTAGCTTAATAACATCAATAAATGCTAAAGAAATCAATTCCAATGCATAATTATAGGTTTTCTAACATTTTTTGTAAAATGTCAAAACCCGACCCCGAGCCCGCTTGGTCCAAACTCGAAATTCGGATGAAAACCCGATTACCCATTCACCCCCGAGCCCGAATATACAATTGGTTTTGGAATCCGACCTCAATTTGAGGTTTAAATCCCCAAACTTTGAAATTGCTAAATTCTACCCAAAAATACCCAATTCCACCATGAAAAACCCTAGAGTCTAGGATGAAATCTTATAAAAAGATGAAATAGATTGAAAGAAATAAGTTAAGAATAAATGAAAAATCCCATCTAAAAATTGTTTTGAACAGTCGTAGTTATCTCATTTGCAATCACAGGTTCGCAAATGCGAACTCGCAAATGCGGCCTTTACTTCGAAAATGCAAAGCTTGGCCTGGCCTGCTGGCATCGCAAATGCGAACAAGTGTTCGCAAATGCGGCCACTGTTCCAGTCTCAATTGCGACAACGAGCTTCGCAAATGCGAAGGTCCCCTTCCCAGCCTCCTGATCGCAAATGCGAAATACCTTCGCAAATGTGATGCTCGCATTTGCGAGCCAGACTTTGCAAATGCGAAGTCTACAAACATGCAACATACCAAAAAAAATTTCTTAAGTCCAAAATCATTCCGTAGCCTATCCAAAACTCACCCGAGCCCTTGGGGCTCCAAACCAAACATGCACACAAGTCATAAAACATCATAGAACTTGTTCGCGCGATGAAATTGCCAAAATAACATCTAGAACTATGAATTCACCACCAAATCTCATGAAATTTTCAAGTTAGTTTCAAAATTTCTATTTTCCCAACCAATAGTCCAAATTATATCAAATCACTTCCGTTTTTCACCAAATTTCACAAATAAGGTCTAAATATCATAACAGACATGTACTGGGCTACGAAACCAAAATATAGGCCCGATACCAATAAGATCAAATCTTTTAAATAATTATATTTTCAATCTTATCAATTTCTTTCAAAAATTCATTTCTCAGGCTAGGGACATCGGAATTCAATTTCGGGCATACGCCCTGGTTCCACATTATTCTATGGACCCTCCGAGACCGTCGGAACATGGGTCCGGGTTCGTTTACCCAAAACGTTGACCGAAGTCAACAAAAATCATCTTTTTAAGCCAAAAATCATCATTTCTTAAAAAAATTCACATGAGGGCTTTCCGGATACACGCCCTGACTGCGCATGCAAATCGAGGAGAGATAAAAGGATATTTTTAAGGCCTCGGAACACGAATTCGACTTCTAAAGCAAGAGATGACCTTTTGGGTCTTCACAAAAATATGTCAAAAACATACCAAAAATTTTCCTTAAGTCCAAAATCATTCTGTAGCCTATCCAAAACTCACCCGAGCCCTTGAGGCTCCAAACCAAACATGTACACAAGTCATAAGACATCATAGAACTTGTTCGCGTGATCAAATCGCCAAAATAACATCTAGAACTATGAATTCAACACCAAAACTCATGAAAGTTTCAAGTTAGTTTCAAAATTTCTATTTCCCAATCAAAAGTCCAAATTATATCAAATCGCTTCCGTTTTTCACCAAATTTCACAGATAAGGTCTAAATATCATAACGGACCTGTACCGGGCTACGTAAACAAAATATAGGCCCGATACCAATAAGATCAAATCTTTTAAATAATTACATTTTCAGTCTTATCAATTTCTTTCAAAAATGCATTTCTCGGGCTAGGGACCTCGGAATTCAATTTCGGGCATACACCCAGGTCCCACATTATTCTACGGACCCTCCGGGACTATCGGAACATGGGTCCGGGTCCGTTTACCCAAAACGTTGATCGAATTCAACAAAAATCATCTTTTTAAGCCAAAAATCATAATTCTTAAAAACAAATTCACATAAGGGCTTTCCGGATACACGTCCCGACTGTGCATGTAAATTGAAGATAGATAAAAGGATGTTTTAAGGCCTCGGAACACAAATTCGACTTCTAAAACAAGAGATGACCTTTTGGGTCATCACAAAAATATGTCAAAATGGATACTTTTTGGTGACATGCTATTTTTTTGTAGTGAGTAGGTGGCTGAGGACTACCTATAAAATATTATGAAAATTTTACACCTTATAGAAAAGCTTAGTACCCTATTTATTTTAAATAAATACCATTTTAAAATATTACATCCAATAGATACCTTTTATCCTTTATAGCAAAATATCTAATTATAGTTACATCCTATATTTAAGGCACCATATATGCTAAATAATATTTTTCTCTCTCCTTTTTTGAATTTTCTTTCACTTAATCACCGTAAAATATGTATAAAATCGAACCATGTTCTCTCTCTCTCTCTCTCTCTCTCTCTCTCTCTCTCTCTTTTGCATACACTTTACTCTCTTCTCCCACAAACCCATGATTCAGACTTCTTCTCCCACCCAAATTCCCTAGGTTTCCTCCATTATCACTCCCCAGTTATTTTTCTCTCTAAAATTACGGTTTTATTCCTGATACAAGTTCTTGGGGTAAGTATTAAGCTTCTTAGATTTTGATACAATTATTTAGTTTCTTCGATTTTGGTACAGATTGTTTTTGCTTCTTAAACAATAACCATTGTTATTATTTACTCATCAGAAAGATTTCAATTTTCTCTCCAATGTCGGATTCAACGTCACACAAGATGGTAACAAGAGGTATACCCACCAAAATTCTCAATTTTGATGGGACCTCTTTCTCGTTGCGGGTGAGAGAATTTTTGGGGTCATCGGCTACAGATCTGTGTGTGTATATGATTTTTTGGTCTTCTTCTATGATTTTTACTGAAGTGGGGGAATTCAAAAATATATAAAAAAGGGTTGCTGGAGTTCTAGATTATTCATGTGATTTTATAATTATGATGATGTATTCGTATGTATTAAGTTGTATTCATAAGCATTAAAACAATCCAGAACTCATTTGCATATTTACTATGTCATTAACTGAGTTGTGCTTACTTGAATATTATATGTTGTATTTAAATGTATTTAGATGTATTCTAATTTACATTCATTGTATTTTCGTACTTGTTACAGTTTTCCTTGCTTGTTATATGTATATATTAACTGTTTTGTACTAAATGGTATTAATATGTATTTCAATATTTAACTGTATCTTATTGTATTTATATGTATTCATACACTTAATGAGTTTATATATTGATGATGAATATGAAACTTTTTTACAATTCTTGTTTGTATGCAGGAAATTAAACTGTTTGTGAAATACCCGCCAAGATTATCACCTCATATTTGTTCATATACAAACACAAACATAGTATCCGATCTCAAAGAAAAGCTTACTCCAGAACAGTATAAACTATTAAGTTCTACTTTTAGGGATTGTGGGGTGCATGTCGCGGCATACGCAGAGTTTCTTAGCACAGTTGGGCTAGTTCCACAAGTAAAATTTGATGTCAATTTACTCCGCCAAAGATATGGTGCACTCCTTTGGGACTATACTATGCAGAAGATAGACGTTGATGCCATAAGCGAGAGCGAAGCACCTTCAAAGATTCTTAGGCACATCACCGATTAGTATATATGCAACATGTTGTATTGATATGTATTCAACTTATTGTATCAGTCAGTATTCAACAGTATTTATCTATATTCATTAAGTTGTATTTATATGTATTCACCAGGTTATGTTCACATATTTTCAGCAGGTGTTTTTAGACCTTCATATTTATATGATATGTTGTATTGATATGTATTCAGCTGTATTTTGAATACGCCTTTTATATATAACTGATTGTAATAACAAATTGTCATAAATTGTATTCAAGTGTATTTGAATACATGTATTTAACATTCATAAATCATATTAACTCTCTGATGTACTATATGTATTCCAAAAAGAATCATCAGTACAATATATTCAATGTTTGTATTCATCTATATTCATATATAATGAAGATACAATGATCGTATTAGTTACGTATTTAGATTTAATACACCAACTAAGTATATCTAAAATATATTCGAAATGATACCGGAATGTATAACAAATTGTTTTTCATTAATACAAGTCAGATTGTGAACTAATTTCAACTTGGAGCATTTCTACAAGTACGCTTATTATGTCATTCTTGTCCACATATGCTACACGAATGTTGATTTTTCTTCTGCAACAATTCAATGAAGGGCTTATCACGCTTCTTCTTTGGTCTTCCAGGAGGTCTTTTCCATTTGGGTGGTAATACAACTTCATCTGCTACATATGCTGGTATATTCCATTCTTTCTGGTCCGGCAAAGGATACACAAGCACTTCATATGTCATTACAACAGACTTTGGTTTGTAATAATCAGAGCAATAACCTTCTGGCATTAGAAACTTGCTCTTCAGGACAGCCCAAGCGTGTGGGCACGGTAATTCGTCGATTTGGAACCGCCCACAACTGCCTTTTTTCTCTAAAAGGCATACTATGTAATACCTTCCTTCATCGTTCACCGTATGCAAATATTTAGTCGATGACACCACCTACATTTAAAAAAACAAATCATTCATATATATAAGAATAGACGTATTAAATATGATTTTCATATGTAGTATTATAATTTTATTTAGTTTTAAGAATCATAATATATTTTGTATTAAAATACAACTATAGTAGATACAACTATATTTGTACATACAGAATTCAAAGACATACATGTAAATACATTGAATATATTAGAATACACACTACGTGAATGCTGGCAAAATATTAGAGTAGTCTTGACTGAATATAGGATACAACTTCCATTGCTACCTTGAAATATATATAGTTAAATACCTTGTACAATGGATATTGTATTCATGAATGCTATTGTATTCATGAATACAGTAGCAAAAATAGGCGTGAACCAGGGAAGTCCAGCTGATCAGTTGTTGTATTCGAGTGTATTCGACTGTTCATGGATTGAAACATGGGATTACAGCTAGACAGATTATTGTATTCGACTGTATTCACGGCATGAAATAGGGGATTACACTATTTTTAAAACGGAAATGAATCAATTAACATAATAGACTCCTAATATAACTCAACAAACTCAATTATACATCTGAATACATAAATTATATTAATTAAAAAAACAAATGAAGACATTCATGGAATATAGCGAGACAGTGAATATAATAAAATACAGGTGAGATATACTGAAATACAATGAAAAAAAGATAATGAATACAATGAAATACATAGAATACAACGAGATACATTTAAATACAATAAAAAAGGTAACAAACTCTTCAAGTTGCTCAGCCCCAAACTCCGTCGTCTTTGTTAAAGAATAACCCTAATATTACTATATTACTGTAAGAAGTGAAAAGATTGGTTGAAGAATATAAGAATGAAGAGGTTAGTATTACTGTAACTGGCCATAGCCTAGGTGCATCACTTGCAGCCCCAAATTGCAGTTGACATAGCTTTCAATGGAATCAACAAAACAAGCGAAGGCAAGGAATTTCCAGTGACAACTTTTGCATTCGCAAGTCCTAAAGTTGAAGATCTCAATTTTAAGGCAGCATTTGACAAACTTGAAAGTCTCCGTACTTTGAGAATCCATAATCTATGGGATGTTGTTCCGAAAGTACCTCCAATTGGCTATATAGACGTGGGCGAGGAACTAATGATTGATGTCGCAAAATCACCATATGTAAAGCCTCCGTGTGTGCAACCTAACAAGCACACACGGACATAAATGGATAGATTTCTGGGAGTTTGGAAAAAGAAACAGAATACATAGCATAGGACAGAATACCTTGTATCATTCGTGTAGACAATGCCTCATTCAAGGTAAGCATCTCCTGGTATTTTTTTTCCAAGCGTTGTGTATGTCTGAAGAGCTTCTTAAACGTATGCCATATGCAAAATTGAATTTGAACGTATTTCTGTATACAATTGTATCAATCTCAAATTTTCTTGGTTGTAAATTGATTTCTACGAACTGTAACAAAAGAACATGAAAAGAAAGAAGGGAGATTTGAAAATCGACAGAATCCTCTGTTTTTGGATACTTTCGGATGGAAAATCGTTGATGGAGGGGGAAATACAGATTATGGGTGCTATAATTATGTTAGTTGAGTTATATTAGAAGACTATTTGCTAGATTGATTTTCTTTCCGTTTTTAATCAGTTGAAAGGTCCCTTGTTTAAGGAATATACGTTATTGTATTTAATGATTCAACTCTTGAATACAGTTGAATACAACATCTTATTAACAGGTTTTCCATGATTCACGCCGCTTTTTTCTAATGTATTCAAGAATACAGTAACCTAAATACATCAAATACATCTTAAAACATCTAAAAACGTATCTACATGCTGTAATATAGCAAATGGTATCCATAAAGAGCTAATTACCACTAAAAGATATCTATTTATGAAAATTTCTCAAATTTTATTAAAGTTTTATGGGTTATTAAGGGGTGGTTGGATAAGATATCTGGTTGGGGTTGAGAAAAATGTGAAGAAAGAGAAAGACAAAACAGTAGTTATTGTTGCCAATCTTTTTGGCCTACATGTATCAATGCTAATTATCTATAGAAATCAATATCCCAACATTTAATTTCTTACTTCCTAAGGTTTACTTTCATATTGGCTTTAAAAAGATGAGTAAACACTGTCATATAACATGTGTGGGACTTTATAATCAAGAAACTACATTAATAAGCTCTCACATATACTTGTAAAAAAATCAGTTACAAATCTTAATGGAAAATATAAAAGAAACCTCACCAAATGCTATGAATTACAAGAATCGAATTGTATATATATTACAAAGAACAGTGTATAAATTGCACAAATCAGTTACAAATTAATATGGTCATGAATTACATGAATTAAATTATATATGTTAGTTACAGATTCCTTATTGATATATTTACTCCAAATTGTAGTAATTTTTATGAATTATCATGGATCATTAATGTAGTAAGTGCATGTAGATGTAGTTTTTTTTTTGATACCAATGATATTTGGGTTAATTTGTGCAATTCTATTGAATATATATTATTTCTCACCGGTACAATTGACTAATAACTTTATTTATCGAGGCTTAGAAAGAGGAAAAGAAATAATTTAACTTTATTGTTTGTTGCAATTACAACAACAAACTCAATATAATCTCAGAAGCGAAATTGAAGAAAGTAGTGTGTACGCAAACTTTATCCGACCTTTTTTATCTGTTGCACTTGCTAGAATTTGAATCCAACCTCCTATTTGATATATATCCCACATCTTTTGCATAAAGAAGTAGTTTATTGTAATGCATATAACTTAAATCCTAAGTCAAAATAAATGTCATTACAATAGTTTTTTTGTGTTATTATTATATGGATTACAATTGCTTCGATTCCTTTTTTTTAAATAGTGGAAATCAATTCAAAAAATAAAGATTAAGGTAATCTACATTGGTTTATTCTATACTTTTCCTTGATTTGGTGGTACACTTCTGATTATACATAATTATACTCACCTCCCTCTCTAACTTTAAAATTATACTGAACTCCCCTTTCTTTTAAGTTTATTACAAGGATCCACTCACTAGAAAATAATTTATTGCAAAATGACACATATACCTTTGAATTAATCACAACTTTTATTTTGTATAACTTTTCTTAAATAAATTCAAGGTAATTGATCTTCATTTATATTTATTATAAAACGATATAATTATTGTAAGTAATTTCATAAAATATAAGAGATAAATTCATCTTTATCAAATTATGGTAGATGCTTTTGTAAATAGTAAAACTTGAATCGGTCAATGAATAAAATGGTTATGATGGAAGAGCGCATCGGAAACCGTTTCCTCCTATAAATTTTCATGTTTGGCTCGTGCATGTATTCATTTTAATTCAAGTTACCAAACAATCTTTGGGCAAGAAATTGTATCTTTCCTTCTTCTCCTGTTGTAATCATGGAAAGAAATAGTTCTCAAATAAGAATGAATGTTCAGAGGGAGTTTGTCAAAGATAAACGTGCTGAAGAGGTTGCAATCTCCAAAATGCAGAAAGCACTCTGCAAAAAAGCAAAGGAGCTTTCTACCTTATGTGGCATCGAGATTGCCATTCTTATCTTTTCAATCATAAGTCAACCCTTTTTATTCGGAAGTCCGAATGTTGAATCAATTGTTCGACGATTTTTGAAGGCCAAGCAGCCAATTGCATCTCTCTTAAGTGGTTAAGTATCATATAAAAGAACAAGTGGTCGCAAAAGAAAGTTGGAAATGGAAAAAAAGAAAAGGAAGGTAGAAGAAAACAAGTACAAAGAAAAAACTCTGGAAAGTATTTTCACATACTATCCATTGGAAGATATCGATCTGAATGATTTGGAAAAGTTTGAAAAATTAGATCAAAATATTGAGAAACTTTCAAATTATTTGATTGAGGAAATTGCTCAGTTGCAGCTTGTGATTGACGCTGACGATCCAAATTTAGCAGTTGAAATGAATGTGACTAGTTCTTTGACTTTACCATCTAATTGGTTACGTCTCTAAATGGAAAATTCAATGTAGAACTCTATATAGTATGTTGTTTCCGAATAATGATCTATAATATGGAATGAATTTTTCAAAGAGTAAATGACTATTGTTGTTTATTGTTTACATGTTGTCACGACCCAAGTTCGCCCTCCGTTAACTGTCATGACGGCACCTAGCTCTACGACTAGGTAATCCTAATAATTATGGAAAAAGAACCAAAATGCGAAAAAACTAATAAAAACTAAAGATAAACAAATATAGAAGTGTTTAAGATGTTGCTCGGCATATACCAATACAAGATCTCAAAACTGAACAAATTCCCAAAATCTGAAATCTCATGAAATCACAAGCTATGAATACTACATTTTGCTCTAACTCCAGAATGTCTAAATCAAAATAAATACATAAGAGTTAAAACTATAAAAGAGAATGGAAAGGGACTCCTCGGTCTGCGGACGCAGAAGATATACCTTAAAGTCTCTGGAGAATTGCCTCGCCTCAAGGGTAGTGGGACTGAGTCGAAGTACCTGGATCTGCACATGAAAAACATGCGCAGAAAGGGCATGAGTACACCACAGCGGTACTCAGTAAGTGTCAAGCCTAATCTCGGTCGAGTAGTGACAAGGAAGGTCAGGGCCCTACTGATTATAGCTGAAAAACGAGATAAAACAGTATAGAATACGACAATATAATTAAATGCTAACAATAAGAAATAACAAAGGATAATAAGAATAACGACAACTATAACAAAGACCAAATAATCACAAAAGGAATACCGCTCAACACAGAGATAACAACCAGGGATCTCTCAGTATCCCGAGGATCTCTTAGCATCCTCAATATGTGTGTTGGGAATCTCTTAGTATCCCAAGGATCTCTTAGTATCCTCAATATGTATGTTGGGGATCTCTCGGTATCCCAAGGATCTCTTATATCCTCAATATACGTGCTGGAGTTTTCTCAGTATCCCGCACTACAGTTTAAATCAATATATGCGCAGGGGATCTCCCGGGATACCGTCCCGTAGTCCCAAAGTAAACACACAGCAGCAACACGAAGAATACTCAATTAAATTCAATTTTATACCAAGGTAAAACAAGTATTTCTAACCTAGCATGCTGCACATAATCCAAATAAGGCAGTTTGAGCAAGTAAAGCGATTAAGTCAATTAGACATGCTTCCCTAAGCTAACAGCAGGCTTAAATTGCAAGTAATATAAACAGGAAATGAAACACAATCAAAGTTACTTAATGAAAATAGGATACTCAATAATTAGCACAAGTACGCACTCGTCACCTCACAAGGCATTTCAAATATCAATAATACCAAATCCTAAGGGGAGTTACCCCACATAAGGTTAGGCAAGCCACTTACCTTGAACCGACTCAAAATTAACTCGAAACCACGCTCTTGCCACGAGTACTCGACTCCAAATGGCCCAAATCTATTAAAATCAATTACATAATGTAAATATAACTTCAAGTAACTGATTCCACTAATTAATTCTAAGCTAATACGTAAAATTAGGAAAATGACCAAAACGCCCCCGGCCCACATCTCGGAATCGGGTAAAATTTACATTTTCAGAATCCTCATACTCTCAAGAGTTCAATCATACCAAAAGTACCAAAATCGGACCTCATATGGTCCCTCAAATCACCACTCAATGTTCTCAAATTAACCAAGCCCTAACCCCCAATTTACCACTAATTTTCCTTCAAATTTCATGCTTAAAATGATAAAAATCACCACAATAATTAGCTTAAGAACCAAAGACATTATCTCAATGAATCCCTCTGAAAATCTCCCTTGAAAATGCTCCCTAAAGATTATTCCCGTTGAAAATTTATGAAAAATAACCCAAATTCGCGAAGAAAATCTTTTTATACTTTCTGACCCAGCGCTACCGCTTTTGCGATTTTCACTTAAGTCCCCTTCTCTGCACCTACGACCCAGAATCTGCATATGCGGTCCCGCAGGTGCGGCACACCTCCCGCTTCTGTGATTTCAACTATCTTCACCTTTGGCTGCATCTGCAGCAGTGATCTCTCTTCTGCAGGCTCGCACCCGCGGTCCCCAAGCTGCAGGTACGGTTATGGCAGCAAACTTAGCAGCTTCAGCTGCCAATTCCCAATTCTTAACTTCCCGTTAACCATCCGAAATCATTC